CCTGCCCTTGACCGGCCTGGATGTTTTCTAACTCTAGCCTTTATTAACAACACCTTCACTCACTCACTCACCCAACAGGATTATGTCACATGCATCACATACATCTCCATAGCTGTAAAACATAATATGGCATTTAATAGAAAGTACTTGATAGAAAGTTCCTAATGGACTGTACATCCGGACGTGACCCGTGAAGATCCGGGTTAGAATAGGTCTTCAGCAACCCATGTTTGCCGTAAAAGGCGGCTATACTAGTCGTAAGAGGCGACTAACGGGATCGGGTGGTCAGGCTCGCTGACTTGGTTGATACATGTCATCGATCTCTATTGCATGCATCGATGCTCATGATGTCAATCACTGGATTGTCTGGTCCAGACTCGATTATTTACAGACCGCCGTCATATAGCTGGGATAATGCTGGATGCGGCGTTAAACAACAAACAAACATTCAGACGTATTCTATATTGCAATCCTATGTACTCTCTGTCATTCTATAATTGCTGAACAGGATTGGGATACGACAAGCACAGTACATCTTTTAAATGCTTTTTCATAAATTTGACATTTCAACACATTTTATCCAGAGATTGTGATGACATAACTGCTAACTTATCTTTGAGAAGATTACGAGTTGTGATTGTTCATTGGATTAAACACTGACTCATAGTGCCATGTCTTGTGAACGTCTTAGAACAAACAACTGAAGTAACAACGACTACGTCATCGTCACCAAGGGCAAAAGTGACATCAACATCAGCAGCTCAAGCCACTACTACGTCCACTGCCCCCGGATCTACTCACTCAACAAATGAACCTACAACCTCTGTAACGGATACAAGTAGCACAGGGTTTAAGAATGAAAGAACCAAAGACTCTACAAATCCCCAAACACCCCCCGTAAACTCCATGCTGCCCCTGCTTGGCGGAACCATTGGCGGCGCTCTGGTTCTACTTGCTGCCGTCATCACCGTCTGCTGCTTACTCCGATCAAGGAAACAGAGGCACACCGATGGTTGTAAGTACTGTATTGTTCACAAGAGAGTGAGTGAGGGAGTTGGGTTTCGGTTCAACGCCGCTTTGAACAGTTTTTCATACGTTGCCGCCACTCCATCTTCATATAAGAAGCCGTGTATGTCAGTAGCAAGTAATGGCGAAGTGAATTCGTTAGACTTAGTGTGTTTGGGTAAATGCTGATTTGAACTGTATGTCAGTTACATCATGGTGTGTCAGCTTGATGTGGGAGGGAAGCCAAGTGATGCAGGTCTTAGGTGTTTACCAATTTGGTGAAGCGTACGAGCAGGGATATGGTGCTGACAAACCTGGAAACAGGGATTCGAACCGACTAGACAAATAATGAGGAGGAACCGGGATTCGAACCCAAGGCCACAGGTTCCTGGCAAGCCTACGCGACGCAACTCTGCACACAGAACTCCGGTGCCTTAGGGCGAATGGGACATCAGTATCCCAAATATCGTTTACGACCTCTCGAGAGGTGATAATGAACTGATGTTATCAATTAATATCATCGTTCAGGGAATTTGTTTTTCTTGAATCACATTTGCTCAAATAGCAAAACATTTATTGCCAAAAGTTTTTACAAAATAAATAAATGTTTGTGCATGTTACCTAGTATATACCAGTTGTAGTTACTCCGTAGCGATAAGTGACGTAGGTATTGGCGCATGTTGTTTGAATGATATGAATCCAATGCTGTACTATTCATTCTTCCTCAGCTGCTGAGCGGCCTGTCAAAGGTCATCCCAGGTATGTATGTCTAGGTATTTCTTCATCTTTTCGCGAACACCTGACATCATCACTGTTTGATAGTGTTTAATAATACAAGCTGATGATATTGTCGGAAACGTATGATGGACTCTACCTTTAGTGGAGGTTTCATATGATTGTGGGAGTGGTTTTGTCACTTTATTTAATTAAAAAAGGATTGAAAGAGCGAAGGATATGTGATGTCATGGATTGTCTGCATAAAATGAACGTTGTTGCTGTTGTCTGAGACTCGAATATCAGCATGGTACAGACAGTGCAAGATCCTTATCCACAACTAATACATAATTATCTTTTAAAAAACAAAATAACAAATGATTCAGTTATGTGAGTGAGTGAGTTGGGTTGGGTTTAACGCCGCTTTTAACAGTATTCCAGTTATATCACGGCGTGTCAGCTTAATGTGGGAGGAAAGCCCGAAGTGATGCAGGTCTCAGACGTTTACCACTTCGGTGAAACCCACGAGCACGGGTGTGGTGCTGACAAACCGAGAAACATAATTGGGGCGAACCGGGATTCGAACCCACAATCCTAGGTTTCTGGCGTGCCCAAGGGACGCATCTCTCCACATCGAATCGCGGCGCCTTAGACGACTGGGCCACCCGTGTCCCCGATTCAGTTATGTAACAGAGTGCCAGCTTGATGTGGTCGGAAGGCTGAAGCTGTGCAGGTCGCAGACGTTTACCACTTAAATGAAACCACGAACACGGGTATGGTGCTGACAAACCTAGAAACATAGGGATTCGAACCCATGATCACAATGAAATGCGGCGTCGTAGATTTATTAGTGTGCTAATATAACAAAGTAAACTAAACCAAAGGCAGTTCAATTTAAATAATGCGACATCTCTGAATTTCAAACAATCTTATTCCAACAGGTTTTAACTGAACTGATTTATTCATGTTGTATGTCAACACAAACCGAATATGATGTAATCATACACATTTAACTTATCAGAAATCAAGATCCGGAACAGGGAGAAGATGATGGTCAGTACATATAAATACGAGATTATTAAATCACACATTCAGTTTTGAAGTGTTTTATTAAAGAGGGATACAATCTATACATGACAAAACTGTAAACAAATATCAACAAATGCAAGAAACTTTCTTTCTTTTTTTCCTCTGTCAATATCAGTATCAATATTTCGTTGAGGCAAATTTCCCCATCCACTTTGCAGTGATGGTGGGTAATCCCATCTACAGCAGCTACGATGGGGGCGTGGACTATGCCCAGATAGGTGGGGCCAGACAGACAGCAAGCACCAAGGGTGAGTCTTTGGTATATATGACAAGGGGGAGGTATGGGGACGTCACTATGTCAAGATAGGTGGGGCCAGACAGACAGAAAGCACCAAGGGTGAGTCTATGGTATATATGACAAGGGGGGGGGGGGGGGGGGGGGGGGTATGGGGACGTCACTATGTCCAGATAGGCGGGGCCAGACAGACAGCTAGCACCCAGGGTGAGTCTATGATATATATTACAAAGGAAGGTGTGGGGACGTCACTATGCCCAGATAGGTGGGGCCAGACAGACAGCTAGCACCCAGGGTGAGTCTATGGTATAAATGACAAGGGGGAGGTGTGGGGACGTCACTATGTCCTGATAGGTGGGACCAGACAGACAGCTAGCACCCAGGGTGAGCCTATGGTATAGATGACAAGGGGGAGGTGTGGGGACGTCACTATGCCCAGATAGGTTGGGCCAGACAGACAGGCAGCACCCAGGGTGAGTCTATGGTATAGATGACAAGGGGGAGGTGTGGGGACGTCACTGTGTCCTGATAGGTGGGGCCAGACAGACAGACAGCACCCAGGGTGAGCCAATGGTATAGATGACAAGGGGGAGGTGTGGGGACATCACTATGTCCTGATAGGTTGGGCCAGACAGACAGCACCCAGGGTGAGTCTATGGTATAGATGACAAGGGAGAGGTGTGGGGACGTCACTGTGTCCTGATAGGTGGGGCCAGACAGACAGCCAGCACCCAGGGTGAGTCTATGATATAGATGACAAGGGGGAGGTGTGGGGACGTCACTATGTCCTGATAGGTGGGTCCAGGCAGCCAGCACCCAGGGTGAGTCTATGGTATATATGACAAGGGGGAGGTGTGGGGACGTCACTATGTCCTGATAGGTGGGACCAGACAGACAGCTAGCACCCAGGGTGAGCCTATGGTATAGATGACAAGGGGGAGGTGTGGGGACGTCACTATGCCCAGATAGGTGGGGCCAGACAGACAGGCAGCACCCAGGGTGAGTCTATGGTATAGATGACAAGGGGGAGGTGTGGGGACGTCACTGTGTCCTGATAGGTGGGGCCAGACAGACAGACAGCACCCAGGGTAAGCCTATGGTATAGATGACAAGGGGGAGGTGTGGGGACATCACTATGTCCTGATAGGTTGGGCCAGACAGCCAGCACCCAGGGTGAGTCTATGGTATAGATGACAAGGGAGAGGTGTGGGGACGTCACTGTGTCCTGATAGGTGGGGCCAGACAGACAGCCAGCACCCAGGGTGAGTCTATGATATAGATGACAAGGGGGAGGGGTGGGGACGTCACTATGTCCTGATAGGTGGGTCCAGGCAGCCAGCACCCAGGGTGAGTGTATGGTATATATGACAAGGGGGAGGTGTGGGGACGTTACTATGTCCAGATAGGTGGGGCTAGACAAGACAGACAGCACCCAGGGTGAGTCTATGGTATATATGACAAGGGGGAGGTGTGGTAGCCTGGTTGTCAAAGCGTTGAATCTTCAATCCAAAGACCCGGGTTTGATTGCTTACTTCGCCGCTAATAGCTGCAAGATTCCCCACGTGGCCATAATGTTGCAACCCTATGTCTGGTGTCCACCGTCGTTCTGTGGCTAAAACCGGGGAAAACCCCGCCCACTCATTTAATAAACTTATAGCTGTATGCTTGGACATTCCTGTTGTATTGATAAATGATCCGTCAGCTTTTAAACGTTCACGAAGTCGATTGACAAAAGTTTCATTCATTGGAAGGGGCCTGTTTCATTCTTTCCTTTACCAATTCTGACGATTTTTTAAAATTTAAATCCATCATGTATCAAGTAGATGGATCAATTTCTCGAAATTTAAACATTTGATCTATGGGTCTATCTTGAAGGTCTCGTACACTGTTTTTTAATCATTGGCACTGATTCATTTGTAAACATGTCTCATGTTGTACTGAATACTGTCTCCTTTAGACCCCCAGGCGTCCCCTGGTACATCTCAGGAGGTTGCAGACATATACGCCATCCCGGATAAACAGCGTTCATCAACACTGAATGGTGAGTCGCAGGAAAACTGTGTTAATGAATACTATTTGCCCGAAAATCATGGACAAAAGAATTCTACACATTTTACAGATAACATAGAATTGTTTGCTGGATAAACTTAATGTCCTGAAAAAATGTCTTAGGATCCTCCTTTGTGGATATCATGTCTAGGGATCCTCCTTTGTGTTTATGATGTCTTGGGATCATCCTTTGTCGATATCACGTCTGAGGATCCTCCTTTGTGGATATCATGTCTTAGGATCCTCCTTTTTCGGATATCATGTCTTGGGATCCTTCTTTGTGTTTATGATGTCTTGGGATCCTCCTTTGTCGATATCACGTCTGAGGATCCTCCTTTGTGGATATCCTGTCTAAGGATCCTCCTTTGTGGATAGCACGTCTTAGGCTCCTCCTTTGTCGATATCACGTCTTAGGATCCGATTTTGTGGATATCATGTCTTAGGGTCCCTCCTTTGTGGATATCATGTCTTGGGATCCTTCTTTGTGGATATCCTGTCTTAGGATCCTCCTTTGTGGGTATCATGTCTTGGGATCCTCCTTTGTGGGTATCATGTCTTAGGATCCTCCTTTGTGGATATCACGTCTGAGGATCCTTCTTTGTAGATATCATGTCTTAGGATCCTCCTTTCTCGATATCATGTCTTAGGATCCTTATTTGTGGATATCACGTCTAAGAATCCTCCTTTGTGTTTATCACGTCTTTGGATCCTCCTTTGTGGACATCATGTCTTGAGGCAGTGTCCGAAAAAATATTGTCTCACAAAAAAGATAAATGTGCAGGAAAATTGCATATATGGACAACTTCTGTTCTACAATTAGGAGCAACGTTTCGGTGTAGGTTAAACACTAAGTTTGTTATCCATATATGTCCTTACTTAGTACTCCACCCGTGAAGATCGGTGGTAGAATAGGTCTTCAGTAACCCATGCTTGCCATTAAAGGTGACTATGCTTGTCATAAGAGGGGACTAATTGGATCGAGTAGTCAGGCTTGCTGACTTAGTTGGTGCATTCATCGTGTCCCAATTACGTGCATCGATGCTCATGATATCAATCACTGGATTGTCTGGTCAAAACCAGATTAATTACACTCCGCCGACATATAGCTGGAATATTGTTGTGTGTGGCGTTAAACAACGATCAATCATTGTTCTTACAAAAGTCTATATATGTACCGAGTACAAAGAAGTGTGAAGGTTAGTAGCCTTTCACACTCCAAATATTTGACGGCGGTCTGTAAATCATCGAATCTGGACCACACAATCCAGTGATTGAAAAACAGAAATACTATGTTCAATCTGCGTTTTTAATTAATTAAAGTTTCATTAATGAGTCATTGTGTCTTTGATATACGTTCTTGGACTATGGTTGTAATAGTTATTTATGCATTGAACATCAGTAACCAAATTATACACATATGTGTACATGTACATACTAACTTTTTGAAGTAGGATGTTGTTGGTAACTAAAAAGTTAGATTACCATTGTTTCTTGAAGCGGAGGCCGTTGCCTGTGATGTGTACAGCGTCGTACAGAAACAACCCAAGTCGGAAGGCCAGGGAATGTCACACCAACCGACGGACAAAGATGGTAGGTCAGATTAGTATTGCCGAGGGAGTGATAGAGTGTGGTTGTACTTTTAGCAATATTCCAGCAATATTACGGCGGGGAATTCATACAGTGCATCCATATGGGTATTCGAATTCGATTCACAGAGCTACCATACCTTCCATCTGGCTTTGCCATTATGTACATGTGCAAAATGTCTTTTTGAAGTAGGATGTTATTGGAAATATAAGATAGCTATCACAACGTCATTTCTGGAGATTCGAACATGCCCTTTGTCGATATCACGCCTTGGGATCCTCCTTTGTGTTAATCATGTCTTAGGATCATCCTTTGTGGATATCACGTCTTAGGATCCTTCTTTGTGGATATCATGTCTCAGAATCCTCCTTTGTGGATATAAAGTCTTAGGTTCCTCCTTTGTGGATATCATGTCTTAGGGTCCTCCTTTGTGGATATCATGTCTTAGGGTCCTCCTTTGTGGATATCATCTCTCAGAATCCTCCTTTGAGGATATCATGTCTTAGGTTCCTCCTTTGTGGATATCATGTCTTAGAATCCTTCTTTGTGGATATCATGTCTCAGAACCCTCCTTTGTGGATATCATGTCTTAGGTTCCTCCTTTGTGGATATCATGTCTTTGGATCCTCGTTTGTGGATATCATGTCTTGAAGCAGTGTCCGAAAAAATATTATACCTCACAACAACGATAAATGTGTAGGTTTATTGCATATATGGACAACTTCTGTTCTAAAATTAGGAGCAACGTTTCGGTGTAGTTTAAACACTAAGTTTGTTATCCATATATGTCCTTACTTAGTACTCCACCCGTGAAGATCCGGGGTAGAATAGGTCTTTATAAACCCATGCTTGCCATTAAAGGTGACTTTGCTTGCTGTAAGAGGCGACTAATGGGATCGAGTAGTCAGGCTCGCTGACTTGGTTGGTGCATGTCATCGTGTTCCAATTACGTGCATCGATGTTCATGATACCAATCTCTGGATTGTCTGGTCAAGACTTGATTATTTACTCTCCGCCGACATATAGCTGGAATATTGTTTTGTGTGGCCTTAAACAACGATCAATCATTGTTCTTACAAAAGTCTATATATGTACCGAGTACAAAGAAGTGCGAAGGTTAGTAGCCTACCACACTTCAAATATTTGACGGCGGTCTGTAAATCATCGAATCTGGACCAGACAATCCAGTGACTGAAAAACAAAAATACTATGATCAATCTGCGTTTTTAATTAATTAAAGTTTCATTAATGAGTCATTGTGTCTTTGATATACGTTCTTGGACAATGGTTGTAATAGTTATTTACGAATTGAACATCAGTAACCAAATTATACACATATGTGTACATATACATACTAAATTTTTGAAGTAGGATGTTGTTGGTAACTAAAAAGTTAGATTACCATTGTTTCTTGAAGCGGAGGCCGTTGCCTGTGATGTGTACAGCGTCGTACAGAAACAACCCAAGTCGGAAGGCCGGGGAATGTCACACCAGCCGACGGACAAAGATGGTAGGTCAGATTAGTATTGCCGAGGGAGTGATAGAGTGTGGCTGTACTTTTAGCAATATTCCAGCAATATCACGGCAGGGGATTCATACAGTGCATCCATATGGGTATTCGAATTCGATTCACTGAGCTACCATACCTTCCATCTGGCTTTTCCATCTGCGATTATGTACATGTGCAAAATGTATTTTTGAAGTAGGATGTTATTGGAAATATAAGATAGCTAGCGATAAATAGCGAAGAACAATGAAGAGCGAAGTGCGGTTTATTTCATCAACATTGTTCTATCATTAAGTCATTTCTGGAGATTCGAACATGCGCTTACAACTTGATGACGTATATAATGGACGACGTTGTTTTTGAGAAGGGAGTATCTAGTGAATTGTTCCCCAAAGATGTAGCTCGGCTACTAAGATAAACGCGATGGCCAACAATCGCATCCAAAAGTGGGTGAGATATTACAATCATCTTTGGGAGAAAAGGTACAGGGAATCGACGTGAGGATTGAGAGAATTTGCGGGAAATACCCATCTTTCATGGATTCCATTGACGGAGTCATCATTATTGAAATACGGGTTAATATTTTGAAAGCTTGTACATTTCATCATCATCCTTAAGAGGCTGTACATGATGTTGATGTCTCATGTAAGAAATAAACGTCTCATAGACTTTCTTTATCGTACAATAAACACTGCAGGGAGAATAAATCACTCGGAGCTGCGCCCATCATGGTTTATTCTCCCTGCAAGGTTTTATTGTACGATAAACAACCCCCACTCGTTGTTTATTTCCTAACTAAAAGTTAGATTACCATTGTTTCTTGAAGATGGGGCTGCTGAATGTGATGTGTACAGCGTGGTACAGAAACAGCCCCAGTGAGAGGGTCGGGCAGTGTCAGTCCACTCGACAGACAAGGGAGGTAAGTCAGATAATGTTGTCGAGTGATTGAGTGATAGCGTTTTACGCTGAGATTAGCAATGTTCCAGCAATACCACAGATTGGGATCCCGGGGGTGGAATTCATACATCGCATCCATATGAAGATTCGAAATCGTTTCGCTGGGTTACTGTACCTCCTGGCTTTATGATAATGAGATAGACAATCATGTTAACATATGAATATTGGCAACCAAAATGTTCGAGTCAGTTTTCATATGTTGTAACTTCCATCAGGGCGTGGGGAGTCCTGGTTACAATAGGTCCCAAGAACCCTGCTTGTCATAAGAAGCGACTGAATGAATCGGGTGGTCAAGACTTGAACCATACACCGCCCGCCATGATAAAGTGGAATAAACTTTGCGAACAACAATCAAACTGAAGACGAACGGGCACACTGGTGTTCTCATATTGAAGGTATTCGCGGCACCGAATCACTATGTGCCCGAGCTTTGTTTGTTTGTTTGTTTGTGGCTTAACGCAGCACTCAGCAATATTCCAGCTATATGACGGCGCTCTGTAAATAATCGAGTCTTGGCCAGGCAATCAGTGATAGGCATCACGAGCATCGATCCACGTAATTAGGATACGGTTACATGCATCAACCAAGTCAGCGAGCCTGACCACCCGATCCATTAGTCGCCTCTTACGACAAGCATCGTCACCTTTAACCGCAAGCATGGGTTGCTATGCTCTACCCGGATCTTCATGGGCCGTCCGAGCTTTGATTTCTTCCATAGCTGAGCAAACGAAATACTTCACTGATTGATACCGAATCATTTACGTTAAATATACCTGAGCTGAAGGAGGGTCCATATTTATGAGACATTCTGCCTTTACTCGTCTTAAAATATTGTTTGACAATTCTCAATGCGTGGGCACATGTAATAAAATAAAACCGATAAAAAATGACTTTGTTTTTAAAGGTGAGATGACTGAGCTGTACAGCTAGGTGTAGCGTATAGAAGCCACAAGATCATGGGTAGTAAGACAAGATGAAGACTGTGGAGTGGACTGTGAAGTGGACTGTGGGGTTGACTGTGAGGTGGAATGTGAGGTGGACTGTGGGGTGGACTGTGAAGTGGACTGTGAAGTGGACTGAGAAGTGGACTGTGAAGTGGACAGTGAAGTGGACTGTGAGGTGGACTGTGAAGTGGACTGTGAAGTGGACTTTGAGGTGGACTGTGGGGTGAAGCTTCTTTTTTGTGAATTATATATTCTTTGTTACCTTTTTATGATATTTACCAATTTATTGTTATTCTGCACAGATAATTCAGGTCCAACAGGGTACAGTTTACCAGAAACAATGCTAAGAAAGTACATGCCACAGGACAAACCTGTGAGCCCTGCAGCTCTTTAACGTGTTAGACAACATATTCAATGTACAACTAATGATCGAGAATGTCTATTCTTTTAAACCAAACAGATGATAAATTACAGGGATCGGATGTTGTCACACCCAATTTATCTCTTGCAACGTGTTGTCACATAATCTCTTAAGTAAATTATTATGGCTTTCTGCGGTTTGACAATTTAGCATCGAATAATGGCTTCAACAGGAAATATTGCTTGAGTAAATCCTATGAGATATCGCTACAATGGAACTGCATCACGCTTTGCATACCATTGTGACGTCATCGTTACAATGCCGTCACTAATCTACCACAGACGCTGGTTAGCTGTAGTTTATACACACAAGACACTGGTTAGTACTGTTTGCATTGGCAAAAGGCTAGAAGATTGATTGAGGACGATAAGAATAATCTCACCCGCATGTCTTTTGATATCAAATATATCAACACGAATTAAAACTTCGATGCTTTGGTTTAGATTTTTTATGTAACCCATTTTATGTATTGAAATATGTAGAATTTGACAAATATATACTTGTGACTCAAACTGCTTATTTTGCTTTTAATATGATGTGCTTATGTCACAGTTAGTAATAATTAGCACGTGTCATTATTGAATACTATGTTGTATTATTTTTTCAAATACATTCCGAATGGTTCATTTGTCCTTGCATCAAATTCTCAATAATACCGTCAATCATATACACCAGTGTTACTGATGTTGTTAGATACAAGTCACAATATGGCTGAAATATTGCCCATGTGACGTAAAGCTTTAACTCACTCACTCACTGTTAGATACAAAAGTGATCAGTAGCGTCCTGAAGCACACTTTTTCTTCATGATCACAGTTTAGAAATGGCGTCTCTCTGAAATGCAATGACGTCACCATGGAATGTGATCACGCCATGACACAATGGATGACGTCACATGCTCGTTTTGTTACTAATTCTTTTAGTTACTCAAAACGAATCTCCTTCAATATATGTTGCTTAATAGTATATTATATATGTTGTTTCTTTGTATTCAGTATGTGTTTGAAAATATAACTAACCGAAATTATATATGTTGATTATGACAAATATGTTCTTGTGACTCAAATTGTTCATATACTGGTAATTTGTCTGTGTCTGGACTAGTTATTCTATGTAAAAAGGATGTATTAACAAATACATGTACCTCGTGCACATTGTTCTCAAAAGCGAGGAGGTGGTGTTATTTTTTTTTTCTTTTATTGAAAACAATAATATTAGGGGTGAACACTTCTTAATTTTTTCCCACCATGGATACCCACGAGCACATCTGAACACACTCTGAACTCGGCTCTTTAATACAACGTCAATTGTCAAGCAAAGATAACAGAAACTGCTTCATGTCAGGAAGGAAATGTATGAAAATACTTTTTGGGGATTAAAAATAGGATAAAAAGAGACGCACCGATGCCAGAGACATCCTTTTTTAACCAAGGACGTTTTGATGTCATTTTGTTAATACTGTGCTGTATCTTGTTTTTCAATATAACTCTTTGGATGGACACATTCTCCTGTCTTCAATGGATAAGGTTGAAGGACAAACTCTTAACCGACCAAAAGACCACACATAATGATTTGTATTTATCACTTACTGTATTTGGATAACTGTTTTTTTCTTTATTGGCGTTTCTAGGCTGTACATTGCATTTGTAACACAACAGAAAATAAACTTTTGCCCAGTGAAATAGTTGAGTTTTAACTATGATGTTTGAGACGAGCTTAACATATTTATTAAGGAATTGTGTTGTTTCCTTTGTGCGGAAGTGTTGGTCACAAATGTTTAACCCACATTATTTCCAAATTGCACCCTTTGACGTCGATGACTCAACGTTATGAAATTGAAAGCTAACAAAACAAGCAGACTGAACAATGGAGAGATGACGGGGTACAATGGAGTCCTGTTTGCTCATGTGTTTAAATGGACTGACATTGCTTAGTATCGCTCAGTCACAAGCTAACATTACACGAGCAAGGAAGATGATGATAATGATGATGATGGGTGATATCTGTACGGATTCTGTGGACGGTAAGTCGCCTGTTTTACAGGACTGGAGTTATTTTGAAAGAAGACTATTCTCGTTTAAAGATTGGCCGAGACAAATGAACCACTCGTCGGAAGATATGGCTTGATTCGTCTATTTGAATCGTACTGATAGCTGCTATTGTTTTAAATGGGACATTCGTCTGAAAGGATGGGAAGCCACTAACGACCCATGGGTAGAACATGAGAAGTGGTCCCCGACTGTCCCTACATTAAAATGGTCGGTGTTGTGAAACACGTACACACGAAGGAAGCTACTTTCTTGAGATAAACCACCGACATTGTATTTGAATTGACAATTAGACGCATAGGTAATTTGTTGGATAGGTCATTCGATTTCTCGTCGTCTTGCTTGATGGTCGCGAAAGGTTTGGAGTGCAAATCAAACCTGTCATGGCCACTTTGGCAACCGGTGAAAAGGCCACCTTTAACACCTGTAAATATGTGTTGCGTGAAGCTGACCAACTCAACGAAACAGTCATTGTGCAGTCATCCAAGTGGTTTCAAGACCGCGCTCAGTGTGTTCAAGATACCAACATTAAATTTCTAGATGCCGTGAAAGCAAACAAACGAGTCATCGTGAAGAAAATACCTCCGGAAAGAGTTCTGGTAGATGAAGTGGAAGCTGTCCATGTCATCCAGAATATAGAGTCTTTGTTGACTTTGTGTTGGCCTGATGGACTGAAGATTCAGGGATCACTTGTTAGATTGAAGAGAGGCACCAAAAACAAACATCCCGTTACATTAATGATCTGTTCTAGTCATGACATTAAAGTTCACAGCAGGACATGTCTTGGTACGCTGCAGCAAGTGAGATCTCTCATACCATTACAAGGTGAGAACGACCCAGATCCTGACTGGAATTAAGATGATATCCTGATATCAGATAAGTAATCAGACACCACAAGCATACAAGAGCACTGGCAACCCCCAGTGGACTTAAGTGATGATTTATGTGAGGAACAACAGGAAATTATCAAGCAGATGTTATATGTCTTCAGTAAGACAGATGCTGATATTAGGACAATAACTGATTTGAAAATGGACAGTCAACTCACTGATGATGTACCTGTACAGAAGTCATAAGTGTCCATACCGAGGCCTCTTTACAAAGGAGTTAAAGATTATCTATTCTCCTATGCCCAACAGTTACGCAACATTACAACAACACACTTAAAAATGGAACACGATGTGCGTTGCAGGGCTGAGATATATTTCTGCAATTGCGTAAGCATACATAAATTTTGATGTTGCATACCTCAGATCTTACATACATTGAAACATACACTATTTGATCACAATTAACTTGCTGTTGCCCGACACGTAAAACCAGAGGTAAACAACTCCTTTAGAGAAAATACTCTGGAACCGTGTTCCCTCAACGACTGCAAACAGCAGTCACTTAATCACATCATAGTGTATTATAATGGCTGCTAGCCTATGAACATAAGCATATGTTACTGACAACAATATACACAAACACTGCATAAACTGTAATGGGGCACATTTACTCCCTGTATTATAACGGTTCTTCAGTCCAGAACATCATCCTATGAAAG